TAAAGAAATCACCAGGATATGACCTCATAACTAGTGAAGTGTTGAAAAAGCTACCTCCAAAAGGAGTAGCCAAACTTGCACAGATATTTAATGCGAGTATAAAATTAAATCATGTCCCTAACTATTGGAAAGTTGCTGAAGTGGTGATGGTACTAAAACCAAATAAGGACCAACATTCTCCAACTTCATATAGACCAATCTCTCTCCTGCCAACCATAGGAAAACTGTTCGAAAAGCTTATCTGTAAAAGACTTGAAAAAGTAGTTTGTCAAAGAAATCTTATCCCAAATCATCAGTTTGGATTTCGGAAAAAACACTCAACAATCGAACAAGTACACAGAGTTACGCACGAAATAGAAAAGGCTTTAGAAAACAAAGAAACTTGTTCAGCTGTGTTTCTGGATATATCAAAGGCTTTTGACGGGGTTTGGCACTCTGGCCTGATATATAAGTTAAACACTGTCCTGCCACAGAAATATTGTAAACTACTGGAATCGTATATTGGCGAAAGGTACTATCGAGTTAAACTACTTGACGCGTATTCGAAATTATATCCTATAAATCGCGGGGTCCCTCAGGGGAGTATACTAGGCCCATTGCTGTACCTGCTGTACACATATGATTTGCCAGTGAACCCAAGATGTATTGTTGGAACTTTTGCAGATGACACGGTATTAATGGCTACAGGTCCAAACAACAAGGTGTCTACCACTAAGCTTCAAATCGCTCTTCAAGAAATTGAACAGTGGACAAATAAATGGAAGCTGATAGTAAACAGTTCAAAATCTAATCATGTAGACTTTACTAACAAAAGAGAAAATCAATTTTCATTATTTCTAAATAGCGTAAAAATTCCAGTTGCAAATTCTGCGAAATATCTGGGTATGAGTCTAGATGCCAAACTGAGATGGAAGGTACACGTCAAGAAAAAATTAAATGAGCTAAAAATAAGATACAAAAAGTTAACTTGGCTTATTGGAAGGAATTCTAAATTATCTCAGCAAAACAAGCTTATGATCTATAAACAAGTCTTCAAGCCGGTCTGGCTCTATGGTGTCCAAATCTGGGGCTGTGCGAAAAAACATATAATCGATATGATGCAAAGATTTCAAAACAAAGCAATCAGGGATGCAGTTAACGCTCCGTGGTATGTGCGAAATTCTGATCTACATCGTGACCTTGAAATACCTACTGTCAAACAAGAAATTCAGAAGGCTGCTAAAAAACATTATGACAGGTTGAGACAACACTTAAACAGCACCATTCCAGCGCTACTTTGTGATGTCACTCACAGACGCTTATGCCGCTTCAAACCTAATGACCTTTTGAGGCGTTTCAACCAGCAAGGAGATGACTAGTTCGTATCTATATGCTCACCCTAGATAGACTTAGATAAACCTACTTGTAATAAAAAAACCTCTTGTTAGTCAATATGACTAGTTGTTGTAAATTTAAACTCTTCATTTTGTTTAAATAT